CCGCTAAACAAATATCTGAGGACAACCCATTACGGGTCACGTCAGAACGACCTTTCGCGAACTTTGACTGACCACTGAAATGATTAACAAGAAGTCGACATCAGCCAGTAAGAAAGCAGCTTTCTAGAACTTTACGTCATTCGTTTCAACATGGCGACTTCCATTTCAGACTACGCTTGAAAAAAATGCTGACACAGTTCTCGATTAAAATTTTGAAAACTGAACAAACAAACATTCCGGAATGTCTAATATATGGTTCAGATTGTATGGCAGTTCTTCCCTCGTACTTTGCAACGCCTTCTCCGTTCAAATGTTTATCCCACGGTAGCGAGAGATCGGAATACCCCGTGTTAACGTTTTCGAGGTTGCATGATTAGAAATCACATTCCGACTGTCACTTTCATAATCTGTGAAGCGACGCTTTGATTGGTCTGATGAAAGGTCGTTCTGACGTGACCCGTAATTGGATGTCCTCAGATCTTTGTTTTGCGATAGCGAGAACTACTGATTATAATGAGAATGTGTAACAATTGGGAATATAGAGGGATGTGACAATGGGACGTGTAACTAGTGGAAGATAGCCATTCACTCAGTTGGGAAACGCTGACGTGCAATAAACCAAGTCCCCAAGCCTTGTCTTCCTTGTCCATCTGCCAAACTATACCGACAAGCATATGTTGCTGGGGACGTAAACTCCTGCCCGGAATCTCAGTGGTCGATATACTGAACATATCCAATATAAATTCTTTGATAACCGCCTCCGTGGTCTAGTGGTAGAACGTCCGCCCGGACCGGCCGCGTCATACCAAAAGACGTTAAAAGACTGTACTAGTTACCCTGTCTAGCGCTCGGCATTAAAGGGCTAAAACAAGGACTGGTCGGCTCGGAGTCAGTATACTGTGTCTGAGTGGGGTATCCATGTTAAACTGCGGCATGGTATCTCAGTGAGCTAGCACTATAAATCGGCATCAGTCCGAACTAGTACTAGCAGCAACACACACACATACACGTGCATGCACGTCGCTATATAAGCGCAATAATCTTGGACGCGACGTTAAACCCAATTTCACCTCACCTCACCTCACATCACCTTTGATAGGCATTTAGATTATCCAATATATAATTACAGGTGATAACTGACGGTAATCAGTGATAGCATGTTGGAAAAAAATGTCCACAAGTCTCTCATGTTTTGCATAAATCCTCAGATCTAGTGTGCCATAACTGCTTTGACGTCGCATCTCCTGAAGACTGCCAACAATTTGTAACCTGCGGAAAAGATGAGGTAAGCACTTTAGTGAATTAAATACCACACCATTCAAACGATAATTTCTGTAATCATGCCTATCTGTATATTCTTCAATATTTATGACTTTTCGGACTTGTTTCGTGTTCCAAACTTTTACCATATATGCGTTTTAGTGAATTAAACACCCCATCGTTCAAATGAAACAATTAACACTTTACCTCTATTTTCATGAATATTGATAATTCGTGGCACTTGTTTCGTGTACCAAAACATTAACATGTATGTTGTTATTAAAAAAGATGAGGTAGGCATTTCAGTGAATTAAACATCTCATCTTTCAAATGCAATATTTAAAACTTTAGCTCTGTATTCATAGATATTGATCATTCATGGTACTTATTTCGTGTACCAAAACGCTAAAATGTATGCTGTTATTAAAAGCAAATATGAAATATGTCTACATGTGTTAGTCCTGCTATAAAGAAGTAGCATTTACCTTCATAATGACCACCGTCGTATCCTTGGAATGTTGCTGAGTGCGGCGTTAAAGAACAAACAACCATACCACTATAACACCGTACGTCACACAGTCGCGTACCAATACTTAGATACCAATGGATAAAATATAACATGGATATAATGGACACTTATCACTATACGTATGTATGTCTTAATGGCAGTGGTATTAAAGGTAAAAAGAACAAAGGAACTGAATTGTCACGTACCTTTGACGCTGTGACTTCAGGGCGTATTCTGCTTTAATGTGTTATATATATATATATAAAGATTTAGGATATTAACAATATTTGCTTAATGACATCGATTTTAAGCGAAAGACCATACCACTCGGACTGATTAAAGGACATTTGTATCACCTGTTAGTATGATTTGGTGACACTCTATTGGCTGTACAGAGCAGTTGCTCAACTCAGAAAGGCTTGAACATGACTCATTGAACAACACTCAAAAGACTTCTGGACACAACAACCGCCTAGCCAGTAGAATATATTGTAAAACAACAAGTTAATCCATGTAAAACAAGAAATATGCGTGTGTGACATTATCCCTGAATAATTCCCTGATATCCCTGAATCAAACATATGCGGGTCGTGTCGGGGTCAACAAGGCGGGGGGAAAGAGGTGAGGTGAAATGGGGTCCCCCCGTTCACGATTCTTGCATTTATTTGGCGACGTGCATGCACGCATGGGTGTGTGTGTGGTGTATAAATATGTGTGGCAGATTGTACTAGTCCGGACTGATGCCGGTTATATAGTACCATGTCGCAGTTTAACATGTATACCCACTGAAACAGTATACTGATTCCGAGACGATCAGTCCTTGTTTTATCCCCGCAATGCCGACCGCCAGGCCGGGTAACAAGTATAATCTATTAACGTTGCTTTTGGCATGACGCCACCGGGGATCGAACCTCTGCATGGAAGACGCTCTTTCCACTACACCATGGAGGCTGAGAAAGTGGTGTGGTGGGAGATGGTAGGGGTACTTAAGGCAGAGTTTGGGGATTAATTCGCGCGGGTCTTTGGGCGGCCACGGACGTAAATTGTGGACGGATTGGTGTTATGAAGACACAGTTTCGGAGTGTGATTGGGGTAATTGGGGTTAATGATGGAAGGACGGAAACAGAAGGTGAAGTGACAATAAGAGATGGTTAGGGTGCGGGGAGGGGAGGGGGAGGGTGGGGGGGAGGGGGGTGGTGTGTGGGTGTGCACGAGGGACGGAGATATATGGCAGTAGGACGGAGATATATGGCAGTAGGACGGAGATATATGGCAGTAGGAAGGGGATATATGGCAGTAGGACGGAGATATATGACAGTAGGACGGAGATATATGGCAGTAGGAAGGGGATATATGGCAGTAGGACGGAGATATATGACAGTAGGAAGGAGATATATGGCAGTAGGAAGGGGATATATGGCAGTAGGACGGAGATATATGGCAGTAGGACGGAGGTATATGGCAGTTGGAAGGAGATATATGGCAGTAGGAATGAGATATATAGCAGTAGGAATGAGATATATGGCAGTAGGAAGGAGATATATGACAGTAGGACGGATATATATGACAGTAGGAATGAGATATATAGCAGTAGGAATGAGATATATGGCAGTAGGAAGGAGATACATGGCAGTAGGACGGATATATATGACAGTAGGAATGAGATATAAGATAGTAGGAATGAGATATATGGCAGTAGCAAGGGGATATATGGCAGTAGGAAGGAGAGCTATGGCAGTAGGACGGAGATATATGACAGTAGGACGGAGATATATGGCAGGAGGAAGGAGATATATGGCAGTAGGACGGAGATATATGACGGTAGGACGGAGATATATGGCAGGAGGAAGGAGATATATGGCAGTAGGACGGAGATATATGGCAGTAGGAAGGAGATATAAGGCAGGAGGAATGAGATATATGGCAGTAGGACGGAGATATATGGCAGTAGGACGGAGATATATGACAGTAGGAAGGAGATATATGGCAGTAGGAAGGAGATATATGGCAGTAGAACAGAGATATATGGCGGTAGGAAGGAGATATATGGCAGTAGAACAGAGATATATGGCAGTAGGAAGGGGATATATGGCAGTAGGAAGGAGATATATGGCAGTAGGAAGGAGATATGTGGCAGTAGGAAGGAGTGAGTGAGTGAGTTGGGTTTAACGCCGATTTTAACAGTGCAGTAGGAAGGAGATATATAACAGTAGGAATGAGATATAAGATAGTAGGAATGAGATATATGGCAGTAGGACGGAGATATATGGCACTAGGAAGGAGATATATGGCAGTAGAACGGAGATATATGGCGGGAGGACGGACATATATATGCCAGTAGGACGGAGATATATGCCAGTAGGACGGAGATATATAGCAGTAGGACGGAGATATATGGCAAGAGGAAGGAGATATATGCCAGTTGGACGGAGATAAATAGCAGTAGTGTGAAAATGTGTTTCTTGGCCAAGTTCTCTGGCTGTTTCAGTGCCTCTCATCGGCATACATCGGTGCAGTCCCATTCGGCGGAGATCGTGACAGGAACAAAAAGTGAAAAAATAACACTCATAAACTGTAAGTGAGTGAGTGAGTATGGTTTTACGCCGCTTTTAGCTATATTCCAGCAATATCACGGCGGGGGACACCAGACATATCCTTCACACATTTTACCCATGTCTGGAATCGAACCCGGGATATTCAGCGTGACGAGCGAACGCTTTAACCACTAGGCTACCCGACCGCCCCCGGCTGTATGCCTGTGCTCTGGGCACTGGGCCAGACCGTCCTTTGATTGAAGTGATGATCAAATACTGCATTTATCTGAAAATAACATTATCGTATTCGAGTGAAAAGTCTTCCTTTACCGAAACTTCTTTCAGTCAGCCTGATTGACGGTTTCCAAGACCACTAAAATCAGTAAAAAACTGCAAAACCAATGCATTGTCGTTTCAAATAACGAATTTTGCAAGGTCACTCGACGAGATAAAAGACACATATTCTCTATGTATTCAAATTTTATCGAACAAAATAATGTCCCAGAAAATGCTTGAAATATATAATAATGCTTCAGACTGTAGAAAAGAAAGTTATTTAAATTAAGTTATTTATTTAAATAATGTTTGGCACCTGTAGCTGAAGACATATCCAGTCTCCATACAAAACCCGCCCCAAATATACCGGCCCCTACGTTAAAATGATCGACATGAAAATAAAAGACAAAAAAGGTTTTGGAGGATTTTTTATTAATGCAGACCGTGTGCTTTACGCGTTGTTACATATGTGCCATCTCACAAATGAATGAATAAAGTTCTGTCTTTCTGGCATTATACCACTGATCTTGCCCGTGAGAAGAAATACCTGTGCGTTCGTTATACTGTTCAGAATTGTTTTGGGGGTAATTGGGATACCATTCAGTGTAGTTGGCTTGAGTACCGTCCACCCACTCCCATCCATTTGTCGCTGGGGCGTAGTACCCTCCAGTCCAGTAACTGCTTTCGGGAGCTGTGTGAAAGAAGCATTATCATTTTCTTCAAAATCAAAATACATTTAAAAACCAATTGAAAACGTATGGGAGGAAAGCATGAAGAGCCCATGTCTCAGACGTTTACCACTGACGAAAGCTACAAGAACGGTATGGGGCTGTTAAACCCATAAACAGGGAACGAATCTGGGATTTAAACCCCCGAACTTTCTGGAACCCACAGCGAATTACGAAGCCTCAGACGAATGTGCTACCCGGAACTATCCTGAATTGATCATATGGAAGTGCTATCTATAAGTGCAGAATGATGAGAGCATTCATTATATTTATATCTTTACAAAAACAACCCCCAATATCACCTAATTCTGAACATTCCCATTATCACGATGGAATGAAGTGTTTGATGACGTTACATCTGTTTCGCTGGCCTATTGTCCACAGGAACCGCTGTATCTCTTGTATTTTCACATTTTCATTTTATTTTCACTATTTTTTTAATTTCACAGGTATCAAACATGTCTTTTTTAACAACGTAAAGGGAGACTTGTTTACTCAAAAGCAGAGGTAGCCCGTCAAGACCGAATAAACAAAGTCAGCTTCATATGTTTAGATTTGGATGACCCTTCCTTGGCCAAATTAGCAACTACCATTTCGAGTGAGGAACTCATGAATTGGACTGACTGAGTATGGTTTTACGCCGCTTTTAGCAATATCCCAGCAATATCACGGCGGGGGACACCAGAAATGGGCTTCACACATTGTACCCATGTCGGGAATCGAACACGGGTCTTCGGCGTGACGAGCGAACGCTTTAACCACTAGGCTACCCGACCGCCCCGATGGAATTGGAAGGAATCGTTAACGCCCACGCAACCAAAAGACAAAGAGATTTATTTCCCCATGCAATCGTGTCTTGGACTTTTCTTATAGCCTGAATAATGAGCCCTCTTAAGTTGTAGAAGACCATTGTGATTCACTCGTAAATCTGTAGTTAATGTTACAAGTATTATGCGCAGAGGTCTCACACTCTATGCTTGTCTTAACCTTGGTGACAATTATGGCAATGAGTCGCCGTCTTGAAACTTTGCCAATCTCTACGCGAATGTTGATCTCCTAAATGCCAGTGTTCACCTTACATGATATATTTTTAACAAAAGCCTGTTCTTCAGCAGTGTTGATGGACACTAGATCTGCTCCCCGCCTCTGACAATCCAGCCTGGCCTCGTCCCACGTCACTTTCCACTGGGCCACATAGTAGCATCTGCTGGGGGACCTTACAAACGTTGGAGGACATCCTGGAGAAATAGCAGCGCTTGAAGTGGTCTTTCTATGACATTTATATTCAGTATACAGGATTACGTTTTCAGTGAGCACAATTCTTACCCCACTCAGCTACCGTAGTATACTCTTCCTGACAGGTTCCTGAAAAACAATCCCGTGGCTCATCCGGGTTCGAATTGGTCCCAAGGAACCCATTTTGGTCGTAAGAGGCGTCTTAATGTATCCGGAAGTCAGGCGCGGTGATTCGGCTGATGCAATCATGTGTATGCCATCGTACCCCCACGATACCTTGCTCACGGTATTAATCACTTGATTGCCCAGACTTAATTACATACAGCCAGTCGTCATAAAGCTGGAATATTGTGGCGTTAAACACCTCACAAAACATCCTAGAATCCTGGGAAAGTTTTCTGCCATATAATACCATGTTCTTGACGGCGTGTTAAGGGCATAATAAACGTGTCCATGACAGCGTGAGTATTAATGGTTGTTCACTTCATTAGACCGGAAGTTGTTGTAACCTTCTTCTTAGGGTAACTTTAGGTCTAGGTCTTCGTTTACGGCATTTGGCATGTTTCCCTAACCGGACGTTATATTATTTGACCGGAAGTGGGCATAACTCCATCTTTTAGTTGAAAGAGGCTCTGTATGACGTTGTGGTTTAATGCCCTGGCCGCGTCATACCAAAAGACGTTAAAATATGGCACGTATTGCTACCCTGCCTGGCGCTCTGCATTCAGTGATAAAACAAGGACTGGTAGGCTAGGAGACAATATACTCTACCTTAGTTGGTATCCATGTAAAAGGTGGCATGGTATTTTAGTGGGCTGGCACTATAAAACCAGCATAATTCCGGACAAGTACAAGCAGCCACAAACGCATGCATGCACGTCACTACATAATCTTGGATGCGACTTCATATAAAATGTTCTATTCGTTCAACTTGAGATATATTGCCTACTGTTATATGGCAGTGTATTTTAATGATTGTAACCGTGCTATATAGTTTAGGTTGAGATTCAGTAGACGCTCATTGCATTGTATTTGGGCAGTGATTAGTCGTCAGGAATGTAGTGCCATTTAATGTCAGCATTTTTCAGGAAGTTATAATAGTTGGACGTTAGTGTGGTGTGTAAGCATTCGGTTACAACGGACGATGATAGTGTGTCAAAGAAGCATGTGTAATGTTCCAGTACCGCTGGACTGGTGAGGGCACTGTGTAGAAATTTCCAGTGGTTACTTGGACTGTACATATCGTGGGATAACAGCGTGTTTACGCATCTCTCACACTTTTCATCACGTCAAGACCAGCTGTCCTGTGTGTCACTTGTTGGTTGTTTTTGTTGGTTTCACACTAAGTTCTTTTACTTCAATATTTCAATTTGGCAATCGACACGTAACACTTCTCGCCTCCATCTACAGATGTCGACCCCGCTGTGTCACAGACGTTCCAGTTGCAGAAGTTCTTGTCACAACATCGGTAACACTTGTGAACATCACGGGTAGAAGGTACCAGAGATGTATCTCGAGACTCCTTGCTTCCCACCGATCTTTTCCCGAACAGTGTTTGTGCGATTTGGATGATACCACAGGTCTGACAAAAAACATTTTCGTTCAAGACATATGAAGCGTACATCCCACCAGCAACATCCTTTTGGGAATAATTCATTTTAAGAATTATAAATAAGTTGATAGAAAGTTCCAGTAATATTTAAAGTTATAAGTGTGTGAGTGAGTATGGTTTTTACGCCGCTTTTAGCAATAATAAAGCAATATCACGGCGGGGTACACCAGAAATGGGCTTCACACATTATACCCATGTCGGGAATCGATTTGTTATCTTTCACTTTTGATTGATTGGCAGACAGGAAGATGAACAATATGATACACTGAAAAGTCATCTCATCAACATTAGAGACTTCACGATATCAGAACAAAATCCAAAGCTATTTCAATGAAACACAATATCTATAGAATGCTGACACATGTACTGATTCCTACAACAATACGATACAGCGACAGAGAATGAGATGCACGTATCACTCGTGAGCAGTGGTGTCAGAACCTACAGCAATACGGTACAGCGACAAAGAATGACGATGCACGTATCACTATAGCGGGAAGTGGTGTCAGAACCTACAGCAATACGATACAGCGACAGAGAATGAGATGCACGTATCACTATAGCAGGTAGTGTTGTCAGAACCTACAGCAATACGATACAACGACAAAGAATGAGATGCACGTGTCACTCGCAGGTAGTGTTGTCAGAACCTACAGCAATACGATACAGCGACAGAGAATGAGATGCACGTGTCACTATCGGGTAGTGGTGTCAGAACTTACAGCAATACGATACAAAGACAGAGAATGAGTTGCACGTGTCACTCGCGGGTAGTGGTGTCAGAACCTACAGCAATACGATACAGCGACAGAGAATGAGATGCACGTGTCACTCGCGGGTAGTGGTGTCAGAACCTACAACAATACGATACAGCGACAGAGAATGAGATGCACTGGTGTCAGAACCTACAGCAATGAAGGAGGACAAACACCCCAAATGAGTGAGTGAGTGTGTCTGGTTTAACGCCGCTTTTAACAGTATTCCACTCATATCAAGGCGTGTCAGTTTAATGCAGGTCTCAGACGTTTACCACTTCGGTGAAACCCACGAGCACGGGTATGGTGCTGACAAACCTAGAAACATAATCGGGGCGAACCGGGATTCGAACCCACAATCATAGGTTTCTGGTGTACCTAAGGGACGCAACTCTGCACAGCGAACACCCCAAATGAAGTCACAAGGATTCTAACGACTTCGATTTGACGAAGATTCACATTAGTCAATGGGAAAGAGGACGTCACCGATGGTATTAAGGACACTTATCTATGAATTGGCACCGTTCACATTGATCTGCATTAGCATGGCGTGTATGAGAAACGGATCTGGCCATGTCGCATCAATAGCTGTATGCCGGTTCATATGCAAGACGCGACCCATTATGAGACTTTCTGAGTGAATTTAAATGTCAATCCACACGCGTATCTGTACCCTCGCAGTGTTCAGGTATTTCTTTGTGCGTTCTTACTGATAGATGGATTACAGCCAATACAACGAGGTGGCTATTAACATAGGAGGACCATTACGACTGTCACTGAATATATATCACTGTCAAATATAAGACGTATTTCAAACGCTACGTTTTGAAACGCAGAAGGCTTTCAAATCTGATTTGTGTCTCAGTCAATTCGTGTCCCACGCCCGTCGACGACACTTGTTTACATGTGGAGGTGTCAACAAAGGAGAACAACTCGAAGTGGTTTTGCATTTTGTCTCTTTGAAAGGTAGCAAATTTACAACTTAACAGTACTAATATCATTTAAATGACCTACAATGACGGATAAAGGTGAAAGCCTGACTATTGATAACACCAACCAATTCAACAACATAGTCTTACATCGCACGTTTGTGTTTTTGACAATTGTTTGGGATCTGAATGTCCGTACGTTTATTCCTTTAGGGCTATATTTGAATATGACCAGAAACCTTTTGAACAGAACATATAGGAAATGTTATTTTATTATTTCTTTTTAATGTAACATGTATAACTTGTAACATGTAACCACTTGTAATGTGTACGATTTGTTATTTGTTTTGTGAACACATTTTATTTTCCCTCGGGGTTTTGTCTACTGTTACATTTTCGGCTGTAACTATACAAAAAAAACACCTTGATTCTAATACGCTGAACGTTATCGGTCCATCTATTATCTGTCGTATTCACGTGTTATTTCAGCCTGCTTTTTATCCCCTTTGGACAAATACGAGTCGGGATGAGAAGTTGTTTGATCAAGGTTACAAATTCAAGGCTTCAGTAAAGCTTTCAAAATGTTTTATGGTAGACATGTTGCGGACATTTCATATTTGAAGCATCAGTAACAAAATGATGTCCAATACAATTCCATATTTTGACTTTTACCATTTGCTCCCGTTTTTTCAGGTGAACAATTGACTTGCCTTGCATGTGTTTGTGACGGGTGCCACCGGTGGGGCAGGATACGCTCACCTTTTCGCGAACACACTATTTGATAGTAATTCATAAGGACATGCTCATGATATAGTCGGAATCGTACAATCCACTCTGCTATATGCAGAAATTTCTATTGGATATGGAAAAGGTTTTGTCGCTTTATTTACCCAAGCCAAGTCGCAGAATTGTGAACTAATCACCTTGACACCCATGATATTCTGTGTCTGTTTTGTACCATGCTTCCGCTATCTCTGGCAAGGTTTAAATAGGGCGTCTTCTTTATGAATGGCATGATACAATTTCTTTTAAAGTTCCGCAAATGTCCAGATCTGTTATATGAGAAACATAATTGTATATTTCAAGTATTACATGTACAAAACTCAGATACCACAGAGTCTGAGGTAAGTATTTCTCTTACCCTGGTACTTTCACAGCCCAGATGATAACCTCTTTGCCTTGCGTGGTTAGTGAATTCCCTGGTGAAACACATTTGTTGGGAGACATGAGACCCGTCAGGAGTTTGTCTCACACAATTTTAGTACATGTATGTAATATATCTAGGATCCAGCTACATATTTGTAACGAATGCGCTACATATATAATTTCAGTCTCCACACATAGATGTACATATTTCTGGTATTTCAACAGTGCGCACGTTTCATATTCCTCATTTTCTATTTTTTATCTGTTTTATTTATTTATATTAAAAAATGACAAGATTCATTCGACATAAATCCCTAACCAAGACAAAGACGTCGTGAGTATCAGGGATAGAGTAAGTGATAGGTGTTCATGATATCAACCACTGGATTGTCTTGTCCAGACTCGATTATGTATAGACCGCCGTCTGTAGCTGGAATATTGCTGAGTGCGGCGTAAAACAAAAAAACAAATACTACAATAAGAACTGTTTCTACAGTATCTGAAGAAAACGTTAAGGGCACTGAACCTACCTCGTCCTCACCACAAATCACATACTCTTGGCAATCAGCAGGGGATGTGACATCGAAGCACATGTGACAGATTAAGTCTGAAGACAGATGATATTCACACAAAGAGGGTGTTTGGGAGAGTGAGTGAGTGAGTTGCGGTTAACGCTGCTTTGAACAGTATTCTAGTTAAATCACGGCTTGTCAGCTTCGTGTGGATGTTACGCCCTAAGGGAGGTGAGGAGGCACCTCTGACAGGAGACACGAAACGCTGTGTTGTTAATGCGGGATTACCTGTGTTGTTAATGAGGCATTACCATTGTTGTTAATGGGGCATTACCTGTGTTCTTAATGCGGCATTACCTGTGGTGTTAATGAGAGATTTACCTGTGTCGTCAATGAGAGATTACCTGTGTTGTTAATGAGGCATTACCATTTTTGTTAATGGAGGGTTATCTGTTTTGTTAATGGGGCATTACCTGTGTTGTTAATGAGGCATTACCTGTACTTGTGAACATACCTGTGTTGTTACTGGGGTATTACCTGTACATTCTGTACATACCTGTTCATCTAAATGCGGCATTACCTGTACATTGTGAACATACCTGTGTTGTTAATGAGACATTACCTGTACATTGTGTACACACCTGTGTTGTTAATGAGGCATGACCTGTACATTGTGCACATACCTGTGTTGTTAATAAGGCATTACCTGTACATTGTGTACATACATGTGTTGTTAATGAGGCATTACCTGTACATTGTGTACATACCTGTTGTTGTTAATGAGGCATTACCTGTACATTGTGTACATACCTATGTTGTTAATGAGGCATTACCTGTACAGAGTGTACATACCTGTTGTTGTTAATGGGGCCTTACCTGTACATTGTGTACATACCTGTTGTTGTTAATGAGGCATTACCTGTACAGAGTGTACATACATGTACCTGTTGTTGTTAATGAGGCATTACCTGTACAGAGTGTACATACCTGTTGTTGTTAATGACGCATTTCCTGTACATAGTGTACATACTTGTTGTTGTTAATGAGGCATTACCTGTACAGAGTGTACATACATGTTGTTGTTAATGAGGCATTAACTGTACATAGTGTACATACCTGTTGTTGTTGATGAGGCATTACCTGTACAGAGTTACATACATGTTGTTGTCAATGGGGCATTACCTGTACAGAGTGTACATACCTATGTTGTTGTTAATGAGGCATTACCTGTACATTGTGTACATACCTATGTTGTTGTTAATGAGGTTTACACGTGTTGTTAATGATAGATTTCCTGTGCTGTTAATGGGGCCTTACCTCTACATTGTGTACATACCTGCTGTTGTTAATGAGGCATTACCTGTACATTGTGTACATACTTGTTGTTGTTTATGACGCATTACCTGTACAGAGTGTACATGCATGTTGTTGTTAATGACGCATTACCTGTACAGAGTGTACATACATGTTGTTCTTAATGACGCATTACCTGTACAGAGTGTACATACATGTTGTTGTTAATGACGCATTACCTGTACAGAGTGTGCATACCTGTTGTTGTTAATGACGCATTACCTGTACATAGTGTACATACATGTTGTTGTTAATGACGCATTACCTGTACAGAGTGTACATACATGTTGTTGTAAATGAGGCATTACCTGTACATTGTGTACATACCTGTTGTTGTTAATGAGGCATTACCTGTACATTGTGTACATACCTGTTGTTGTTAATGAGGCATTACACGTGTTGTCAATGATAGATTTCCTGTGTTGTTAATGGGGATTGCCTGTGCTGTTAATGGGGCCTTACCTGTACATTGTGTACATACCTGTTGTTGTTAATGAGGCATTACCTGTACAGAGTGTACATACATGTACCTGTTGTTGTTAATGAGGCATTACCTGTACAGAGTGTACATACATGTTGTTGTTAATGAGGCATTACCTGTACATTGTGTACATACCTGTTGTTGTTAATGAGGCATTACCTGTACAGAGTGTACATACATGTTGTTGTTAATGAGGCATTACCTGTACATTGTGTACATACCTATGTTGTTAATGATACATTACCTGTACAGAGTGTACATACCTGTTGTTGTGAATGAGGCATTACCTTTACATTGTGTACATACCTGTGTTGTTGCCCTGTGCTGCTGTGTTAATAGACAGCAACACAACAACCAGCAGTTGGGGGATTACCTGAAATTAGATAATGGTTCCAAAATAAGACGACAGCAAAGTAAATTTGATTACCCCTGAAGTGGTATTTTCCAGAAATAGCGAAAGTGTTGACAAAAGTAAGTAACACAATACAAACCATTCTTCCAAGACGAACACGTACGTTGTAAGAACGGTTTTATCCTTCTGGTATTGCACTACCAAGCTGTTGCCTTGATTAGATAAGGAATTTAATTTTAAAATAATAATGTATATCAGTCAGTCAGTCTCATGTTATGTGCGTGCTCATTGTCATGTGAGTTATATTCAATTGTAGCTTTACGACCTCAATTTTGTCACAGGACTATAGTCGGTATTTGGAGGCGGTCGCATAGCCCAGTGGTTAAAGCGTTTGCTCGTCACGCCGAAGTCCCATGTTTGATTTCCCTCTTAGGCAATAGGTGTGAAGCGTATTTCTGGTGTCCCCCGCCGTGATACATACTTGGTCGTCACTTTTATTAGAAGCATGTCCTGGTTAAGTCATTTCTCAAATGCTAGTGTACAAGGGGAATAGGCAATGTTTGCAATTTTAAAACAATTGTCAAATGACTCCCTCTGTGGCAAGAGCCATAGTTTATAATATTTGATGTGAAAATAGGTCCAATTTTACTGTATGGTTCCGAAGTTTGTGGTTTACGTCACGCTTTCTCGGTCGAAAATCGTCAACTCCTAATACCATGGTACGAGGTCGTCATTCTTTGTATCACAATGTATATAAATATTGTAAATATTGCTGCATATAGGATGTAATATTATACGTCCCCCAATACTTTTGGTGTAGCTCCATATAGAAGAAAACAGATAACTTTCACAGTTATTATTACAAACGACATGCAGGCTTAATATGACAGTCTGTTCTTTAACTCCCATACAGAAGACACAACCGTTAAGATAGAAGACTTGAAATATAGGCCGTGGGCTAGGTATGACCCACGATCCCCCCCCCCCCCCCCCCCCCACACACACACACACACACACACACAAACACATTCAAACCCAACTAATATTTGTTAAAGCCCTTAAACATACTAAACATGATTTTGAATGTTAACAAGAAAAAAGTTGGGACGAACTTGTTGTTATACCCTTTCAAAGTATGGTACCCCATATCGCGCTTTCGCCCGGTTTTGCCGTATATCACTCGGGGGTATGATTACGTTTTGGGTTGTCATCTCACTAGTGATCGACTGATCTTCAAGTGTGATATACCACTGGAAGCCATATAGAAGTACCTCTCCAATGAGGTATCAATAATTGGTATTGAGTGAATATGGACCAACCCATGACAAATCGAACGTCATATATTCCGACAAAACCAAATTCTTCTCGCAGAAATCTTTAATCCGGTATATGTCCTAGGTACGTGTGCCTGATTCCACTATAATCTTCTTACACATATTCCAGTACATCTCTTGAAGTACTTCTTAACATGTGATGTTACCAGGTGAAAATCTTTTGCACAATTTGGAACACATTTGCTCTTATAATATCAGCGTAGGATAACAAATATACCATTCTCGGCTTAGCTACATCGGAACAACGCTTGGATGTATGCTCACGATTTGGCTTGTCATCTTGTGTGTTATTCACTGACCTTGATGTGTTATATGCCATAGGAAACCATATATAAACACCATAATTTGATGTAGGCTGATTATTGATCTACTTGTGGACAATCATACAGAATACTTCTTGACAACTCTGATATCACTCACTTTTGTATGCATATAAGATGTTCACAGTATAATGCTCGAGTTGATTTCAGAACTTTGAATGAAATTGACCTATGTGTAACATATTCAAGATGGCAACCATAAAGCTGTGAAAAAAAAACTGATCATAATGTAAATGTTATTTATTTTAGCAAATATACAAATCCATTTCTTGGACGCAGGCTTGATATTTTGACAAATTTTGCCATTTCAAGTTGAGTTTCAGATTCTTTAGTACAGCTACTAGTTAAGGTGAATTTGCAGGGGGGCACCACCGAAGGTAAAAGACGAATTCATTTACTAACATTTAATTCATACATAACTTAGCTACTTAAGTTTCCAATTTACAGAAAATGTCCAAATGCAAATCGTCCAAATCGTATATGAATGGCTTGAAATGAACAGGGACCATGCATTCACAGAAATAAAGGATATTCCAATTACATACTTAAGATTCTCTTACAGAATAACCAAGTTAATATATGGAAATGTCCCACCTTGTAACAATGTCATCACCGTGATTATGTGTCTTTTGAGGTTGAACTGTTGTGACTGAGACCAACATCTTATACAACCGGGAACAACTCGAAGACAGCTCTGACATCTCAACCTAAACGGAAGAGTATCCCCAGTGATCCAGAGCCAGTGTGCATCATACACGTACCTGGCTTGAAGTATGGTCCACTACAACGTCTGAGCAAAGCCAAAGATCCTGATGAGAATATGGAAAGCTGACGTATGCTCGTGGGTCATACCTAGCCCACGGCCTATTTCTGCTTTGTGTCAAACGCAAAACACGGATAGGGTGATTTTGGTTTTACGAAGCTCTTAGCAACATTCGAGCAATATCACGGCGGGGAGCTCCAGAAATAATTTTCACATGTACCCATTTGGGGAATCGAACCAGGGTCTTTGGTATGACGAGCGAACGATTCAACATAAAAGCTACCCCACCGCCTACAGAACTTGAATGCAGTCTGTTATTTTCTACAAAGATGTCTAATTTGTGGTCGAGGTTGTCACCTACTGTGCCCCCTGCCCTCACATGTGTCAGGAAGTTTTGTTTTTCAGGAACTGATATTCCTCAGCAGTGTTTATAGACACAAGATCTGCCGCCTTCTTCTGACACACCTGCCTTGCCTCCTTCCACGTCACGTTGTGTTGAGCGAAATGGTAACATCTGGTGGGAGACTTCACAAAGAGACTTCACAAAGAGACTTCACAAAGAGACTTCACAAAGAGACTTCACAAAGACACCCTGAAGAACATGATCAGCCATAATCGCGTTGTTTACACATTGTTGACAACATTGATAAATCGATGGGTTTTTAATAAAGAAAATAACAATGCCTACACGTTCTACTCGATGATAAAATACATCATATATATGTGCGGTAAACGGCGTTCGTTCCATGTCCACATCCCGTTGGGGATTTGTTTGATCTGCCCGCAAAGAACATTGCTATCGGGTTAGAAGGTCTGATTGTAAAGTATTTAAGAAATAATAACTTAATGTTATCAATAGACAACGCCTTTAAGAACGTATGTACTTTGGTACCCTCTGTGGCCAAATGCCAAATACCAAATAAAGATATGTTACATTTAAACACTTTCTAAAAGTCATTGTCTTTTCATAGCTAATTAATTTAAAATGTCTGACATGATTATAAAAAAAATTAATGTTTGTACATTGTAAAGAAGTGTTTTTCGTTTTCTTATTTTAAAGTTACACAAACTGTTGCTTTATCTTGGTTGTAAATCCTTTATGTACATTATCTACATGTATGTATACCTTCAGGTTTGCCTACATCTTTTGCTTGAAATCATGACGCATTCATTCTCGTACTCTCGTATATATGTGACTATAGATGTGAGTATATTATACTCAGTGCCACCTACCTGCACTACAGATCTTTAGATTACACAAGTTCTCACTACGACACTCGTAACTACGGAAGCGTAGTAGGGCCACGGTGAAATTTGTTTTTGTCAAAGTATCTCCTACGTAGGACTTACTATCTCCTACGTAGGACTTACTATCTCCTACGTAGGACTAAGTATCTTCTACGTAGGAATTAGTATCTCCTACGTAGGACTTACTATCTTATACGTAGGACTTAGTATCTCCTACGTAGGACTTACTATCTCCTACGTAGGACTTAGTATCTCCTACGTAGGACTTAGTATTTCATACGTAGGACTTACTATCTCATACGTAGGACTTAGTATTTCATACGTAGGACTTACTATCTCATACGTGGGACTTACTATCTCATACGTAGGACTTAGTATCTCATTCGTAGGACTTAGTATCTCATACGTAGGACTTACTATCTCATACGTAGGACTTAGTATCTCATACGTGGGACTTAGTATCTCATACGTAGGACTTAGTATCTCATACGTAGGACTTAGTATCTCATACGCAGGAGATAGGAAGTCCTACGTAGGAGATAGGAAGTCCTACATAGGAGATAGTGATTCTAGGCCATACTTAGTCCTACGTAAGAGATACTTGGTCCTACGTAGGAGATAGTAAGTCCTACGTAGGAGATACTTAGACAAAAAAAAAAATCACCGTGGCCCTACTACGCTTCCGTACGTAACACCTGTGTGCATCACGAGTAGAAACCACCACCCAGGGATCTTCAGACGCCAGCCTTCTGACCAACCTTTTGCCGAGCAGTTTGAATGATGCTCAGAGGATATCTGCTCTAACTTGTTTTAGTGAAAGTCATTGAAGTGAGTTCAGTATCATGGCGTACATTATGGTTTAGATATGGGAATGCAAACGTATATGGGTTTAAAAGCGTTACCACTTATCCCTGAAACCTACCCCTGCAGATCCCACATCAGTTAGTCAATTGCGTTATTACCAAAGGGGGCGGTCGGGTAGCCTAGTGGTTTAAGCGTTCGATCGTCACGCCGAAGACCCGGGTTCGATTCCCGACATGGGTACAATGTGTGAAGCCCATTTCTGGTGTCCCCCGCCGTGATATTGCTGGAATATTGCTAAAAGCGGCTCACTATTACCAAAGATGCTGTCGTTTATTTTCTCATCATGTCAATGGAGATAAATGAACTGTGTTCTACATTTTGACCAGACAGAACAATAAAGCTGTGGATCATAAATAATTTTATTTTTTTATTTTTTTTGGAAGACTGCGCACAGAGCTTCATTAAAAAATCCCAAGAATATTAAGGATCCCAGAGTTTTTTTGTTTAGTATAGATTTGATATATGTAAATTTAATTCGCCAGCATGCGACTCGTGAAGATCCGGGGTAGAATAGGTCTTCAGCAACCCATGCACGCTGATTTGGTTGCTGCATGTGATCGTATCCCAATTGCTTGGAACGATGCTCATGATGTCAATCACTGGATTATGTGTTCCAGACTTATTTGCAGATCGTCGTCATATAGCTGGAATATTTCTGAGTGCGGCGTTAAAAAACAAACAAACAAATGTTTTGGCAGATAACCGAGACTGATTATTTTCTGATGTTTACTTTGAATTGATCCATTTCCTTTGGAGGTTTTGAGGTTCGTGGGGAATATCTAGTGTCTCATATTTGTTTGTTTGATGTTTAACGCCGCGCTCAGCAATATTCCAGCGATATGGCGGCTTGGATAGTTTTCTTGACCTTATCTTATGTCCTTCGAAATAAGGTAAGGCAATAAATCTAAGGAAATATTGAGAAATCTAAACATAACAATGCAAAATATATGTATACGACACCGAGTCACTGCAATAACAAAAAAACAACGTTTTTTGCTGAAATGTTATATATATTGACAAATCAGACTAGAGAATGGTCCTTTTCACATATAAACGATTTGTAGCTTGTTTCGACAGATTCAAACAAGGTGAACTTCTCTGGCTTGACAGTGTAAATTGTCAAACGGTAGTCTGTTGCGTTGGGGGCATGCTTGGGGTACCCTGGATACCACTCAAAGTAGTTGGCTACAGTCCCGTCCACCCACTGCCACACGTTGGTTCTTGGCTGGTAGAATCCTCCGGTCCAGTACAGGGATGGTGCTTTTGCCGCTGAAGGAGATGACATGAGGTGAAATGGGGTTTAACGTCGCGTCCAAGATTGTATATAGCGACGTGCTTGTACGTGTGTGTGGCTGCTTGTACTAGTCCGGACTGATGCCGATTTATAGTGTAAGCCCACTGAGATACCATGCCGCAGTTTAACATGAATACCCCACTCAGACACAGTATACTGACTCCGAGCCGACCAGTCCTTGTTTAAGCCCCTTTAATGCCGAGCAACAGACAGGGTAACAACAAGTACCATCTTTTAAAATATTTTAAGACGCGGCCGGGGATCGAACCCCGGATCTTCCGCTCTCCGGGCGGACGCTCTACTACTAGACCACGGAGGCGGTCGCAGCTGAAGGACAAAGTAACAAGGTCAACAGTGACACAAATATCAATCAAATTAAGTTCCAGAACAATTCTTTTCCAATAAATTTAAAATGTCAATGCTGGAGAATAACCAGTCTTGAAAGAGATTTGGCAAGGGCAAAATAGATGAGAAGTGTGTTTGAATGGACCACTGAAATCACTGATAACACAAGGTGTTAGCGAAAAGAATTCCTATATGAAGATAATACTGAATAAAATAATGCACTTGTTCTTACAGATAGTCATACTGGGTGTTTAAATTATTCGTTTGAACATTTTATTATGAAGTCCAAATATTTCGAAATCCAGGTACAGCAGTGTCAACTTGCTCGTATTGCAACATGATCAAAATATTGCTGCAGATGCGATGTCAGTTTGTATTTCACTCACTAATTTTGACGTTCTGAAATCAGGAGGGAAACACTTATAACTTCGATGTTTTGTATAAAATGACCAACAAAATGCAGGCTAAACATGCTAGTCTATTCTTTTACTCGCATATATAGGAGACGACCATGCCGATTGAAGACTTACTGCCTGTCAAACACAAACCACACAGAAGTAACCACAACAAGGTTTACAAGGATGCCTAGTTTCTATTTGTGACACAGGTTGTTTTGAAATGTACTTGGGTTACGTCACCACAAGGATCCCAAGATACGCATGGATCCTATCAGATAAACGGAGCATAATGAGCTAATACCCCCCCCCCCCCCCTTTCCCCCAACCCCCACATACACACACACCCTATCCCCTGCAATATATAAGGAATGTTTACTTACGAGTGTTATTTCGCAGGAACTGATATTCCTCCGCAGTGTTTATAGACACAAGATCTGCCGCCTTCTTCTGACACTCCTGCCTTGCCTCGTGCCACGTCACGTTGTGTCGAGAGAAATGGTAACATCTGGTGGGAGAATTCACAAAGCCATGCGGACACCCTGAAGAACACGAGGAACCATCACCACACTGTTTACATTTTTGGGACAACATTTGCTGAATCAATGAATTTTTATAAAATAATACTAAAACCCTTCCTGTACATTCGGCTGTCAAGGTGCGCTTCAGGACCACCTCCTGTGAATTTTTTTTCAGAAGGCATTGGTTCCGGATCAGTTAAAACAACTAGTAATGGAATGATGAACCTATTCTGTATATGACTTCATGGTATGATAATACACAATGCCTTTAAAGACCGTGAACGGTGGAATTAGTTTCCCTGGGAAACCAACTGGCAGGCACACTGCCCCTGTCAGGACTTTCATCTGATAAGGTCTCTTACCATGTTGACTGTCCAACAAATGACCATGCTGATACTCTGATATGTACCAGATGTTCAACAGTCAAAACACAAATGTTCAGGATGTCTAATCAGGTCAACTAGGCAAAGTATACACACAGGTTTATTTGGCTATTATCTGCTGATACAACAACAACAATAATAATAATAATAATAATATGGATAATATGGATAATAATAATAATAATAATAATAATAATAATGACGTGGTCATATGAAACATATGTAATATGTGGGATTACACTTTCTTAGTACTGTACAAAGTTTAGAACGTTTCTGGATTGGATAGCATAAGGGATTCGAACTAACACTCTAACAAACCCCACACAAATGACAGACACCGAGGTTTCCGTAAATTTGAAGTTCGACAGCTAATAGTCTACATCACTTATTTGGTGTATCCCTCTCTTCCCCTCCTATCCCAAATATCACATATGTTACATGTGACCACACACTGAAAGCACCCGTGACGACCCGCCTTAGGATAGAATCTTCAGCAAATCCATGCATGCCGTGAGAGGCGACTAACGGGATCGGGTGGTCAGACTAGCTGACTTGGTTGATGCATGTCATCGAATCCCAATTGCGTGGATCGATGCTCATGATGTCAATCACTCAATTGTCTGATCCAGACTCGATTATTTACAGACCGCCGTCATAGAGCTGGAATATTGCTGGAATAATGAGTCCGGCGTCAAGCAATAAATAAACAAAGAAACAAACAAAACTTTCTGAAAGGCATTGTCTAGTCATAGTTTATTACACCCATTGGCATCATTGAGTGATTATAAAAATATATGTATTTACAGGTGGGAGAATGTTCACGGCTTACCTGTGTTGAAGTCATTTTTATTGTTAGTTTGTCTTTGTTGTAAGTTCCATATCTACGTTGTCTGTGTATACTCATTAACGCCCACGGGGGCACGGGTGGCCCAGCCGTCTAAGGAACCGCAATTCGCTGTGCAGAGTTGCGTTCCTTGGGCACGCCAGAAACCTATGATTGTGGGTTCGAATCCCGGTTCGCCCCGATTATGTTTCTAGGTTTGTCAGCACCATACTCGTGCTCGTGGGCTTCACCGAAGTGGTAAACGTCTAAGACCTGCATCACTTCGGGCTTTCCTCCCACATTAAGCTGACACGCCGTGATATAACTGGAATACTGTTAAAAGCGGCGTTAAGCACAGCTCACTCACTTTTTAAGTCACATTCTTTCTTGTACTATCGTATGTGTGTGACTGATATAATACTCAGCGTCACCTACTTGCATCACAGACGTTCACGTTGCACAAGTCCTGGCCACAGCAGTGGTAACATCTGTGTGCATCACGGGTAGAAGCTGCCACGGAGGGGACTTCAGACTCCATACTTCTGGCCAACCTTTTGCCGAGCAGCGTTTGTGCGTTTTTCAAAATACTGCAGATCTATAAAATGAAACATGCATATTAATTACTGTCATCATTTTGCCAACCATCATCGAGCTAAATATGAGCCAAAGAAAAAAATCCATGTCAGATATACTTGTTTGAACACAGTTTTATGTTTCGTCTAAAGGATCAATGAAAAGACAAACTAATGTCATCTCGCTCTGGAGTACGGAAGCCTTTTAGGGCCTTTTATTTTTTCGATACTATCTTGATATTTCAAGATCCTAAGTTGAAATTTCAAGAAACTAAGTTGAAACTTCAAGATATTAAGTTGAAATTTCAAGATACTAATTTGAAATTTCAAGATAATAAGTTGAAATTTCAAGATAGTATCTTGTATTCCAAGAAAGTATCTTGAAATTTCAAGTTAATATCTTGAAATTTCAACTTCTTGAAATAGAAGTATAGTATCTATATAACACATAACCAAGATGAACTAAATACCCGTGTGATACGAGGAGTTTATTGTATTTCAGTCTACCCCGGAATAACAATATAAGTGGTTGGGACAATGTTTTGATATTATCTTTGTTTCTCCATGTAATCTATTAAGCAAATTGTGTTAGAACATATAACACATAACCAAGATGAACTAAATACCCGTGTGATACGAGGAGTTTATTGTATTTCAGTCTACCCCGGAATAACAATATAAGTGGTTGGGACAATGTTTTGATATTACCTGTGTTTCTCCATGTAATCTATTAAGCAAATTGTGTTAGAACATATAACACATAATCAAGTTGAACTAAAAACCTGTGTGATACGAGGAGTTTATTGTATACCAGTCTACCCCGGAATAACAATATAAGTGGTTGGGACAATGTTTTGATATTACCTTTGTTTCTCCATGTAATCTATTAAGCAAATTGTGTTAGAACATATAACACATAACCAAGATGAACTAAATACCCGTGTGATACGAGGAGTTTATTGTATTTCAGTCTACCCCGGAATAACAATATAAGTGGTTGGGACAATGTTTTGATATTATCTGTGTTTCTCCATGTAATCTATTAAGCAAATTGTGTTAGAACATATAACACATAACCAAGATGAACTAAAAACCCGTGTGATACGAGGAGTTTATTGTATTTCAGTCTACCCCAGAATAACAATATAAGTGATTGGGACAATGTTTTGATATTACCTGTGTTTCTCCATGTAATCTATTAAGCAAATTGTGTTAGAACATATAACACATAACCAAGATGAACTAAATACCCGTGTGATACGAGGAGTTGATTGTATTTCAGTCTACCCCGGAATAACAATATAAGTGGTTGGGACAATGTTTTGATATTACGTGTGTTTCTCCATGTAATCTATTAAGCAAATTTTGTTAGAACATATAACACATAACCAAGATGAACTAAATACCCGTGTGATACGAGGAGTTTATTGTATTTCATTCTACCCCGGACTAACAATATAAGTGGTTGGGACAATGTTTTGATATTATCTGTGTTTCTCCATGTAATCTATTAAGCAAATTGTGTTAGAACATATAACACATAACCAAGATGAACTAAATACCCGTGTGATACGAGGAGTTTATTGTATTTCAGTCTACCCCGGAATAACAATATAAGTGATTGGGACAATGTTTTGATATTACCTGTGTTTCTCCATGTAATCTATTAAGCAAATTGTGTTAGAACATATAACACATAACCAAGATGAACTAAAAACCCGTGTGATACGAGGAGTTTATTGTATTTCAGTCTAAAGAGGAATACCACACAAACACCATGAAAGGTATTTCGTTTTAGAGTATGAGACATGGTATTCGGCAACGAGAATATTTGGTGTACTTACCCTTGGACTCTCACAGCCCAGGTGATATGCTCGCTTCCCGTTATGGTCGGTGAATTCCCTGGTGTAACACATCTGTTAGAAACATACGGAACCTGGTGTGACAGTGGTTGGACAGTACATTGCCTGATGTAAATGTCATGGTATCCTGGCGTACGGTACGCATGTACAATTTGTGCTGTTTGTTTGATTATATTCCTTTGTCAGGCTCGCTGACTTGGTTGATGCATGTATCCCAACTCGTGGATCGATGTTCATGATGTCATCACTGGATAATCTGGTCCAGACTCGATTATTTACAGACCGCCGTCATGTAGCTGGAATAATGCTGAGTGCGCGTTAAACAACAAACAAACAAACACGTTCCTTTATTCATTTAGAGTATTTATTTGGAGTATTTATTTTGTAAAGATACATAGAATTTTTATATGGAGTATTTATTTCATAGTAAAATTATAATACTGATCTAAGTTCATAAATGTTGCAAGATGACGTCATGCTCATAGATTAATTACGGCAAGTGTAGAAGTATATATGTAAATCACCCAATGTGTAAAATGACCGAAATTTTACTTCGGCAATATATAAAACACCAAAATATTTTCTTCATTTTAAAACCAAATTCCATCAGATTGACTCAAAGTTGTTAAGAAGTTCAATAAGGCTTAAAACACCCACACCGCTGTCATACAGCTGGAATATTGCTGAGTGCGGCATTAAACAACTAACAAACAAACAATCAATAAAACACCTCCATAGACTAATTATGCTGGGATAGGAGCCAACAAATCTATACATTGACTTTCGTTTTCTTTTAATCCTATCAATTTCAGGCTCATAACTGTTCTTGATGTTTAAACAACATACACGGGAAAAAAAGAAGTGATTTATATTTGTGCATCTGTTTCAGGAAGTTGTTTTAAGAAGTAACGATAGAGGAATAACGTATCTCAAGTAGCTGCTTTTGAAAGGAGGTGTTTCATAATGCCTCCATGGCATATATTGTTGGCCTTTATCAACAGTGTACTTATTACTGGACTTAGCTTATCTGTGATTCATTGACAGGTACTCTGGTAGTAAAGGTCATAGTAGCTCTTCCAGGGGACATTCTTATCAATGTGGGAAATATACCATACATAGTGATTTTGCAGATGTGTGTCACAATGGTACCATGACTAAAATGTTAGGTTAAGTATTAAATTATCAGGTCCGTTTTAATTCTTTTTTCTTTCAATGTGTTATCGCTCCTCTTTGAGGTGATTTCACCCAGTATATCAGATCTATATTTCTTTGATAATGTCACACACTCATATTTCGATTTTTACACACATTAACTTGTTGTTTTACAATATATTCTACTGGCTAGGCGGTTGTTTTGTCCAGAAGTCTTTTGAGTGTTGTTCAATGAGTCATGTTCAAGCCCTTCTGAGTTGAGCAACTGCTCTGTACAGCCAATAGAGTGTCACAAAATCATACTAACAGGTGATACAAATGTCCTTTAATCATTCCGAGTGGTATGGTCCTTCGCTTAAAATCGATGTCATAAGGCAAATATTGTTAATATCCTAAATATATATATATATATATATATATATATATATATAAATAAATAAATATAATAAATAAATATATATTTAAAACTGTGTTCAATCTTACTCCACTTATTTAATTATTACTATATATATATATATATATATATATATGTGTGTGTGTGTGTGTGTATATATATATATATATATATATGTATATATATATATACAGATTTTGGATACACTTTCCTTATATCATTTGTTGCAAAATGATATAAGGAAAGTGTATCCAAAATCTGTATTTATGCTCTACTTTGTATTGAACACTCTCTTCTGTAATTGGATAATACTTGTGTGTATATATATATATATAAATGAGGTAAATGTTCACTCGGTGTACATGTAATATATTATAAAAGTACTATGAAAGCGAAAGTACTATGTCTGAAACTGATATAAAGAAGGTGATGGACTAACGTGGACTTTATTATTTTATTTTATGTATATATCATTCAAGTACACATTAAAGCAGAATACGTCCTGACGCCACAGCGCTAAGGTACGTGACAATTCAGTTCCTGTGTTATTTTTACCTTTAATACCACTGCCAATAAGACATACAAACTTATAGTGATAAGTGTCCATTATATCCATGTTATATCTTATCCATTGGTATCTAAGCATTGGTACACGACTGTGGTGTTATGGTAGTATGGTTGTTTGTTCTTTTCTTTAACGCCGCACTCAGCAATATTCCAGGGATACGACGGTTGTCATTATGAAGGTAAATGCTACTTCTTTATAGCAGGACTAACACATGTAGACATATTTCATATTTGCTTTTAATAACAGCATACATTTTAACGTTTTGGTACACGAAAAAAGTACCATGAATTTTCAATATTTATGAACACAGAGCTAAAGGTTTAATTGTTCTTTTGAAAGATGAGGTGTTTAATTCACTGAAATGCCTATCTCATCTTTTTTAATAACAACATACATGTTAATGTTTTGGTACACGAAACACGTACCTAGAATTATCAATATTTATGAAAATAGAGGTAAAGTGTTAATTGTTTCATTTGAACGATGGGGTGTTTAAATCACTAAAACGCAGATATGGTAAAAGTTAGTAACACGAAACAAGTACCATGCCAATGAATCATAAATATTTAAGAATATACAGATAGGCATGATTGCAGAAATTATCGTTTGAACGGTGTGGTATTTAATTCACTAAAGTGCTTACCTCATCTTTTCCGCAGGTTACAAATTGTTGGCAGTCTTCAGGAGATGCGACGTCAAAGCAGTTATGGCACACTAGATCTGAGGATTTATGCAAAACATGAGAGACTTGTGGACATTTTTTCCCAACATGCTATCACTGATTACCGTCAGTTATCACCTGTAATTATATATTGGATATGCCTATCAAAGGTGATGTGATGTGAGGTGAGGTTAGGTGAAATTGGGTTTAACGTCGCGTCCAATATTATTGCGCTTATATATCGACGTGCATGCATGTGTATGTGTGTGTGTTGCTGCTTGTACTAGTCCGGACTGATGCCGATTTATAGTGCTAGCACACTGAGATATCATGCCGCAGTTTAACATGGATACCCCACTCAGACACAGTATACTGACTCCGAGCCGACCAGTCCTTGTTTTAGCCCTTTAATGCCGAGCGCCAGACAGGGTAACTAGTGCCATCTTTTAACGTCTTTTGGTATGACGCGGCCGGGGAACCCCGGACCTTCCGCTCTCCGGGCGGACGTTCTACCACTAGACCACGGAGGCGGTTATCAAAGAATTTATATTGGATATGTTCAGTATATCGATCACTGCGATTCCGGGCAGGAGTTATGTCCCCAGCAACATATGCTTGTCGGTATAGTTGGGCAAATGGACAAGGAAGACAAGGCTTGGGGACTTGGTTGATTGCACGTCAGCGTTTCCCAACTGAGTGAAAGGTTATCGTCCACTAGTTACACGTCCCATTTGTCACATCCCTCTATATTCCCAGTTGTTACACAATCTCATTATAATCAGTAGTTCTCGCTATCGCTAAACAATGATCTGAGGACATCCAATTGCGGGTCACGTCAGAACGACCTTTCATCAGACCAATCAAAGCGTCGCTTACCAGATTATGAAAGTGACAGTCGGAATGTGATTTCTAATCATGCAACCTCGAAAACGTTAACACGGGGTATTCCGAACGACAGTTACGGCCCGTACGACTGATTCCGTCAAAATTATCGTCTATCTCTCGCTACCGTGGGATAAACATTTGAACGGAGGAGGCGTTGCAAAGTACGTGGGAAGCACTGCCATACAATCTGAACCATATATTAGACATTCCGGAATGTTTGTTTGTTCAGTTTCCAAACTTTTAATCGAGAACTGTGTCAACATGTTTTTCAAGCGTAGTCTGAAATGGAAGTGGCCAGGTTGAAACGAATTGCGCAAAGCTCGAGAAAGCTGCTTTCTAACTGGCCGATGTCGACTTCTTGTTAGTCATTTCAGTGGTCAGTCAAAGTTCGCGAAAGGTCGTTCTGACGTGACCCGTAATGGGTTGTCCTCAGATCTTTTTTTAGCGGCAGCGAGAACCTATATCTGATTTTAATGAGATTGAGTTTTTACACAGCCTGGGCGGAGGCCAGGAGGGGATTACTTAAGTCAGGCAGGCTTCTAAGCAGGCTTGGGGTAAACAAAAACTATTCAGAAACATTCAGTTCTGTTAATTAATCAGTGTTATTATCAGTGCTAACAATTTTTTATATATATTAATAACATGATATGTCTTTGTGTGCATATGGGGGCACGGGTGGCCCAGTCGTCTTCGGCGCCGCGATTCGCTGTGCAGAGTAGCGTCCCTTAGGCACGCCAGAAACCTATGATTTTGGTTTCGAATTCCGGTTCGCCCCGATTATGTTTCTAGGTTTGCCTGCACCATACCCGTGCTCGTGGATTTCACCGAAGTGGTAAACGTCTGAGACCTGCATCACTTCGGGCTTTCCTCCCACATTAAGCTGACACGCCGTGATATAACTGGAATACTGTTAAAAGCGGCGTTAAATCCAACTCGCTCACTCACTCTGTGTGTGCATATATTTCTTCTACTTTTCTTGAATCACTCCATTCCCATACTTTGGAAACATGGGGTGACCAGTAAGTCCCTTCAGCCATGGACCGCCTCCGTGGTCTAGTGGTAGAGCGTTCGCCCTGAGAGCGGAAGGTCCGTGGTTCGATCCCCGGCCGCGTTATACCAAAAGACGTTAAAAGATGGTACTTGTTGTTACCCTGTCTGGCGCTCGGCATTAAAGGTCTAAAACAAGGACGGGTCGGCACGGAGTCAGTATACTGTGTCTGAGTGGGGTATTCATGTTGATCTGCGGCATGGTATCTCAGTGAGCTAGCACTATAAATCGGCATCAGTCCGGACTAGTACAAGCAGCCACACACACACGTGCATACACGTCGTGCAATAATCTTGGACGCGACGTTAAACCCAATTTCACCTCACCTCACCTTCAGCCATGACCCATGTTTTCAGGTGTGACAAATTGGACGTGTAACTATATTGGAGGATACCGAGTGAATCAGGGACCTTGTTGTCATTTAATTCATTGTCTTGTGCAAAATAGATTATGTACATACCGCCATCGTATAGCTGTAATATTACTGAGTGCGGCGTTGAACAACAAACATCAAACAAACACCATTCAACTTACCTTTTGCTTCTGTGTTTGAAGTTACCCCCAGCAGAATCACACATAACGCTACCAGTGGTTTCATCTTAATGAGAAGGACAATCAGTTATCAAAATGTAATTCAATAACGGCTAAAGGCTAAAGCCATTATTTTGTGGTTCGTACATGGACAGAATCACAAATAAAGCAAGAATCCGTTTCATGAAAACATAAAGCGTGATAAAAAAAATCTGTTATAAAAAAAAATCAAAAACGAAAATTCGGACGAAGGGCACAGAAATACAACTGCTCAACAAAAGTGTTTCACACATACTGCTTAGGCTTAAAATACACCCTTACCGTGAGGCTGTTGTCACGAATTTGTCACCCACAAGTGTGTCAGCATAAAAACTAGGGCTAACCAGGTCTTATCTTCATATATCAGGTCCCTGTTCAGATAGCCAGAGACACATATATACTCAAGGGAAAAAGTAGCCGTGCCTCGTGTGAAGATTTTGTGTCGAGATACTTTTTCCAGCTGCAGCTAGAAAACCAGATATTTTGAGTACAGTAAAATACGGTTATAACGAACTCAAAGGGACTACCAATTTTAGTTCGTTATAACCGTAGTTCGTTATAAGTACATATACAGCATGTCTACAGCAGGTAGTCGGGACCAAAAAGAAAGTTCGTTATATCCGACAGTTCGTTATAAGCGTGTTCGTTATAACCGTAGTTTACTGTATAGGATAAAACACGTCCGAGGGTTGTTATGATATTTAAAACCCGCATCCCGAGGGATTTTCTGAGCGAAAGGGTTTTAAATATCATAATAACCCAAGGGGAAGTATTTTGTCCGAAAAAAGAAACTTTACACAACATTTATCAACATTTTTATGTTTCGAACATACGTTCCATGAACATTAGGAAACGGGCGTAAAATATCTGTTGCTTGCATACGGATCTTGAAAAGGACATTCTAAAAAGCAGTGCGATTCAACAACGCCTCTCTAACCTAGTGGTACACTCACTGGGCAACAGATACGAAGGCACAGCTCCAGATAAGCTGCGTATCTGCGTAAAATACGCATCAGAAATGCAGAGATACGCAGTAAAATAAAATCCAAGCGTATCAAATACGCAACGAACATTACAGATACGCTACAAAAATAAAACTTGTGCGTATCATCAAAATATTGGGAAGTAACCCTGCGTATTCGATAAGCAAATCAGCAACTTATTTTGAAATTATAAACAGGCATTCCGTCAACCTTGCCAAACTCCACGATGACACTTACATCATGATCATTTGCCATCACACTTTCTTGTGGAAGTATCGTGGTATTTTTGAGTCCTATAAAGCTCGCGAACCAACACGACACTAGTTTGCAGGGACCAGATGAATAGTGTTTTTAAATATTTAACTTAAATACCCATATGTGTAAAAACTAGTGGGTAACAGAAATTTGAATACCCAGATAGAATTACTGATACCCAATGATTTTAAAATGCATGGGTAAAATACCCACAACACCAAAAGCTTATCTGGAGCTCTGCGAAGGTTGAGCGTTCGATCCTCGGGAATATAAAGAAAATATTTGTCATTTGATTTTACATTTCATTACATGTTACAATCTGAACGGAAGTTATATTTAAAAAAATACCCAGGACATAATATAAAATACCAGGGATGTTATAACACATTATATAGCAAATATGACTTGAATATCCTATAAAATCCCAGGGACATCACAACGTCCCTGTTTATGAGATTTAACCCGACTGGAGAACAATACTAGGATGACGTCACCGGAGGTTTATGATTTAATTTAACTAATTTAACTGAATTTGTTTTAAGGAAAACAGCTTGGAGCAAAGTGATTTTTGTGGCGTCAATTTCTTTGTTTCAACAGTCTGAAGCGTAATTATCTTTGTCAAGAAGTTTCGGGGACAATTTATATTTTTATGACATTTTTATGTAGATCATAATTCTAACATTGAATGACCTGAGCCTAAAAACACGTTGCAGATTAGGCGTATAATATCACTAGGGGGAAACAATGACGCCAACGTGTCTGTCACGTGATAGGGTGTGGGGTCAAAGAGTGCCTTGGTATGGTATTAATTATTGTCAGTCCGTGAAATGATTAAACGAACCTTCAGTTAGCTGTGCTTACGTATTTCTTACCAACCGTACACGTATCAGTGAGACATCGTCAGCGACAAGGAGGCAACGTTATATTCTCGAGAAGGAATGAGTGAGTGAGTGAGTTGGGTTTAACGCCACTTTTAACAGTATTCTAGTTATATACGGCGTGTCAGCTTAATGTGGGAGGAAAGCCCGAAGTGATGCAGGTCTCAGACGTTTACCACTTTGGTGAAACCCACGAAAAGGGGTATGGTGCTGACAAACCTAGAAACATAATCGGGGCGAACCGGGATTCGAACCCACAATCATAGGTTTCTGTTATGGCCAGGGGACGCAACTCTGCACAGCGAATAGCGGCGCCTTAGACGATTGGGCCCCCCGTAACACTCGCGTATGAGGGAAAGGTGACGTGCATCATTCATACTTATGACGGTGTTCACTTTTTATTTGATAATGAATATAACACAGACATTGACAAGTGAAAAAATAACTCAATACGCCACCCTCTTCACGTCATACTCTCCCCAATCTCATTTAAATCAGATCTTTGTTCTCGCTATCGCTAAACAAAAATCTGAGGACATTCCATTAGGGGTCACGTCAGAACCACCTTTCATCCGACCAATCAGGGCGTCGCTTTCCAGATCATGAAAGTGACAGTCGGAATGTGATTTCTAATCAGGCAATCTCGAAAACTTCAACACAGGGAACAATAGTTACGGGCTTAACGACTGAATCCATACAATCTAGACCATCTATTAGCCATTCCAGAATGTCGTTTTGTTCAGTTTTCAAATTTTTAATAGAGAATCTGTCAAATTATGTTTCGAAGCGTAGTCGCCAATTTGAAATTAATGCCGTAAAGCATAAAATCTGCCTTCTGATTGGCTAATTATCGACTCCTTGTCAGTCATTCCATTGGTCGATCAAAGTTCGCACAAGGTCGGCCTGACGTGACCCGTAATGGGGTGTTCTCAGAGCTTTGTTTAGTGGATGCGATCGTCCGGCCATTGCCCAGATCGATGCTCATGATGTCAATCACTAGATTGTCAGGTCCCGACACGAATATTTACAGACCGCCGTCATATGGCTGGAATAATACCGAGTGGGACGTTAAACAACAAACAAAGAAAACAAATTTAAACGTCTCATATTGTGTCAGGAATGTCGACCTGTCAGCGCAACGAGGTCATGAGATAGTGACAGGGACTCAGATGCCGCTGAAGATTATCTTACCCCAATACAGGTTATATTCCACAAATAGAAAGATAAGGTACATGTATATGTGGCCCTCATTAATCGAATATGAGTGTTCTATGACTGGCACCAGACGGCTGGAAGTTGTTCCTATTCGGTGGGAGGTTATGCGTCTCTTGTATGGTGGTTTAAAAATAACTGTGGATTTAAAGAAATTACGCAATGTTGAAATTATAACGGTTCGCAAGAGAATGCAAGTTCTACTGTGTAGTTTGAGGTCTCTTTATCTGATACCTCTCATTCTACGAAGAAGGCGTCATAATGGGCTACTGGTAACATCCCATCGGGGATTAAAGACCGATTCTCAACAGATAGAACCACTGTGAGTTCTGGCCCCGATTTCTCGAAACAAACTTAAGTTTAAAAAATGACTTAAGTCTGATTTTTTCCTCAAATTTGAGAAAACTCAGCACAATGCATTTCTCGAACCAAACTGAGTTCGATTTTGAACTCAAGCTGAGTTTACAATTTGAGTTAGGTAGGAGGAATCTTAAGTTTCTTTGTCGGTCATAAAATGGCGCTGTTGAATAGGCTTAGACGCCGTAGGCAGAAACAAAAATCAACATTGTTACGGAGATTAGTCGATAGACAAAATCGAGTTCATGGAACCCGAGGAGTTCTTTATGAGGTTCCGTTTCCGTGCGGAGAGCATTTTATTTATTGTTTCCCTTGTTTGTGAGAACCTTGAACAGTGCTCCAACCGAAGCAGCCCATTACCTATTCTATTGGTGCTATGGGCAAATGCCAACATGTAGAAAATGGATGTAGCCTAGCACCAAGCGATACTTTAACCAAACGACGGCGGCCTGAAAACAGCCAGGTTTGGGCCAGACAATCAAGTGATAACCTTGTTTGCATTTTACACTCAAAACTATAAAAGACAACAAGCCCCGTTGGTTGAATGTATGTTTACAACTTTGATCACACCAGATGACTTTGGCGTGAGATCTGTTATCACAGTGGCCTGAGTGTACCTGTGTTTCCAGTTGTCTGATGCATGTCATCGATCCCAATTGCGTGGAGCGATGCTCATGATATTAATCACTGGATTGTCTGGTCCAGAATCGATTACTTACAAACCGCCGTCATATAGCTGGAATATGGCTGAGTGCAGCGTTAAACACCAAACAAACAAACAATCCCGAATAGCGGTTCACCCGGATTATGTTTCCTGATTTATCAGCACCATACCCGTGCTCGTGGCTTTCGTCAAAGAGAACACGTCTTTGATCTGCATCACTTCTGGCTTTCCTCCCACATTAAGATGACACGCTTAAATACTCCTCACTATTTGAGAGAGGTCAAGGTCGACTTTAATGCCCCAAAGAACTTAAATATTACAAACGAAAAGGACGACAGACAACTTTTTGCTTTTGTATGTTAAATGTTTTAACTGATACAGCAAACAGCAGACAACCAATAATTTGCAATAAAAAGGGTTTTTCTATTACGAGTATTTATTTGTACATATACTCTACGTTGAGAACGACGAACATCTGCTACCTCGGGCCTGGTAACGTTGGGTAATTGTTGAGTTATAAGTAACTGATAGGGATTTAACTGTATACATAAAATTATGTAATCGAAAAAAGAAAATGCTTTTTAGAAGACCCTGGATTTCAGACGAAGAAATGGAGTGACAGTGCCTTTTTGGAACTCAAAAAGTTCTTGCTCACGGCGTGACATCATGGCTGCCCTGGCACTGAAGCCACTTTTTGACACAACTAGCACACGACAGCGACTGAGAACAGTCTGGTCTAGCAGTGCCAACTCAAAGCCCCAAATTGCATTGGGCTTATTTCTCTGTCTGTCAATATGCATTATCATCCCGCCAGTGTCAATTTCCTTGGCGCCGAAATATTTCCTGGCACTAAGCCGCACGTCCATGGAGTCACCAGCAATGAAAACACGACTCGCATTTTTGAATTTAGATAGAAATGTCCATAGGTATTTGACAGTGGACAAGGAATTGATTTGAGCGCCATCATTAGGAATGGTTGGATTTCTCCTCAT